CTAAGGACTACTGCGAACCTGAATTTGAGTCGGATGCTCTTATTAATGAACGTTCGCGATTTATTCCGGCCGACGATTGTGTGCTTTCTCCCGAAGTTGCCATCTGCTCGTCGTTTGTGAAGCCTGTTTATAGGGGTCCGCACGTCGCATCCGTAGCTCAGTTGGTTGGTCCGTTGGCATCCGACAGTACCGGCGTTCGATCCCAGTCGGGAGCGTTTTGCTCCGGCCTTCAATCTGACGGTAACCTGTGTCCGGAACGCAAATCCAGTGAATTTGGACCCAGCACGTCATCCTGTCTTCCAAAACGTGAACTGATAACATTCGATGGGGATCCTGCCCGCTATTGGATGTTTATGCGATGCTTCGAAGCCAATGTTTCCAGAACTACTTCCGATCCAACTATCAGGCTTTCATATCTGATACAATACTGTTGTGGCGAAGCCAAAGAAGCTATCGAAAGTTGCTTAATACTCGACCCTGGTGAAGGTTTTGAAGAAGCAATGAACATTTTGCGCAGACGCTTCGGACGGCCCCACATGATTGCTAGGACTCACATTAATGCTTTAACTGATGGCCCTAACATCAGGCCCAATGATTTCACAGCTCTGTCTCGTTTAGCTGTGGAACTGCGTTCGTGCTACTTGACGTTGAAACAGTTGAGGTATGAATCTGATTTGAACGCGTCCAGAACAATCAGCTCTATCGTCAGGAGGCTGCCTAACCATCTGCAATTCAAGTGGGCCGAGCATGCCGCCAGAGTTATCCGCACCGAAAGAGAACCGAACTTCATTGATTTGACAGATTTCGTGGATGAAACCGCAGACGTCGTCGATACTTATTTGTCCTTTGCCGCACGTCCCTGCGGACTACCGGCCATCACCGATAGAGGCAGAAGCTTAAACTCTCAGGGATATGCCGCTTGCCTAAACATTGCCGCTTCATCAGAACGAAATTTCCCTAAATGTATTTCCTGTGAACAACGCCACTACTTAGATCAGTGCGATGATTTCCGAAATCTCAACCTCAACAAACGTCTTGAATTCTGTCGCGCTCATAGACTGTGTCAGCTCTGTCTCAAACCGAATCATGACCTAGTAAATTGTCGATCACGAAGGTGTTGTGGGTCGAACAATTGTAAGCTGCTGCACCACCCGCTACTCCACGTTGATCGAAGCAACTTCGGAACACCAACCACTGAAGGATCCAGTTTTGCTCTCAGTCACATCGAACGCTCTGTTGTGTCGCTTGGCTTGTTACCTGTGCTTGTTTCTGGGCCTGCTGGCACCATTCGAACATTAGCCTTAATAGACAATGGATCAGATACTTCACTGATTGATTCAACATTACTTCAAGTTATCGGGGTTCAAGGGTCCGTGACTCCACTTAACATTAGCACCGTTGCTGGCCGATGTCAAGTGGAGTCCCAGTTGGTTAGTGTAACTGTTCGATCTATAGATGGAGATGAGGCGGTCCAATTAAATTCAATTAGGTCAGTCAGTCATCTCCCTGAAAAACTTGGAACGAGAAACAGGAACAACGATTTCGCCAGATGGTCCCACCTCTCCGATCTACGGTTACCGGAGTTGAAAGGAAGGATCGAACTTTTGATTGGTTGCGATAACCCATACCTACACTGGGCATTAGATCAGAGACGCGGGGATCCTGATGATCCGTATGCTGTTAAAACTCCATTGGGCTGGATCGTACTGGGACCGAACAAACAGCACGAGATTATGAAGGATCAATCCACGTCACTGATAGTTGATCGAACACGGAGGATCAACTCACTTCGCTGCGATACCACTGACCTTCATCAACCACTAGAGCAAATATATGTAAAGGAATTTGAGGGATTAGATAGTCCACGACTAACCATGTCTGTGAACTACGGACGCGCGTTAAAACCAATGGAAGCTTCTAAAAGAAAGGTTGGTACCCACTACGAAATTGCGCTACCATGGCAAGCTGGGAGACCTCGGTTACCAGATAACCGGCAATTCGCACTGATGAAGCTTCCCATGTTGAGGAAACGTTTGTTGAAGAATGCCGCACTGCGCCAAGTACACAGCAAGGTAGTGAAAGAAAATATATTTAGAGGATATGCTGAACTCGCTCCAGTACAGGAACAGCAGAAAAAAGGGGTAACCTGGTACATACCCCATCACACGGTATCGCATCACCGTAAGCCCTGTAAAGTGCGAGTGGTCTTCGATTGTCAAGCATCATACCATGGAACTTCTCTCAATCAACAACTTCTACCCGGTCCAGATATATCAAACAGTCTAGTAGGGATGCGTTTACGGTTCTGGTTTCACCCGATCGCCGTCGCGTCCGACGTTGAAGCAATGTTTCACCAGGTTAAGGTTTCTATTAAGGATCGGAATTGTTTGAGGTTCCTGTGGTGGAAGAATGGCAATCTTTGTTCATCCCCTATTGAATACCACATGACTGTACATCCGTTTGGCGCTACTTCGTCACCAAGCTGCGCTAACTTTACATTACGACAAGTTATCGTTGACAGTTATTGTGAATCTCAAACAAAGGCTGAACAAGTAGCAGAGAACGGTTTTTATGTCGGCGATTGTTTATTTAGTGTTGTTTCTGTTCCCGAAGCAACTGAACTCGTTATACACCTTACTCTTATTCCATCCGACGGAGGACTTCATTTGACGAAATGGGTCAGCAATCGAAAGGTTATCGCGCTTCTACCTGACAACGAAATGAAGGTTCACGGAATAAGATATTCGACTGCGGACGATTGTGTTACAACTGCGCCTGGTTTAAACTGGAACGTCACCCAGGACCATCTAACTTTTATGCTGGAAGGTTTTAAGAAAACTTTGACCCGAAGAGCCATCCTCCCGTTTGCAGCTCCCGTTTACGATCTCGGCTTCATTGCTCCCGTGCTACTTCCGGCAAAGCCACAGTTACAGAGTTTCGTAAAAAGAAAGCTGGAATGGGATGAGCCTCTTCCCGCAGAAGATCAGCAAGTTTGGAGCAGAAGAAGGAGACAGGTAAGACATGTGTTTGATATGTTTTGCCGTAGGCGGATTAGAGTACATCCACAAATACTGCAGAATAGACAGAAGTGGTTAACTGAAATCAGCGATCTTAGGCAGGGCGAGTTAGTTTTAGTTTGTGATATACGCACATCAAGAGGTCTGTGGCCTAAGGGTGTTGTGGAGAAAGTTATCAAGAGCAAAAGCCAACTGGTTCGACAAGCACTGGTGAGGACACGCAAAGGCATATTGCGAAGAGACGTCAGACAGCTGTGCCTACTAGAAGCATACCAGGAAGAAGAGAATGATGCCGTGGAAGCCATCGTCCGGGATAGGAAACCGCCGGGGGAGTGTAAAGTCCAAAAGGAACTTCGATGTATCCCCCAAACTGGATTGCTTACATGAGGACACGGTATCTCATTTCCCTGATTATCTTGCACATTTACACTGCTTTACTGTGTGTGTATTTATTTCTTACACTCCATCACTGACACATCCTTGAGGTTTCAAGGTCATTCTTATTATTATGTTACTGTGACACTGCCCCAATACTCGATCCGCCCCACGCTGGACAGTTTCTGCCCACTTGCATTACGATTGCGAAACCTATTCGTAAGTCATGTACTGTATTTATTATGCCTTATAGAACCACGGTTACAGGATAATTCGTTTTCTTCTTCTGCCCAGACCGTGCGTTAAGTCTAGGTTTATCTGTTCGTAGTGTCTAGTTTAGTTTCGTACGACGTACTTAGTTTAGGCTTAGTATCGTTGGTACAGTCCTCAAGCATCTGGCTCGAAACACCGAACGAGCTGAGCCCAAGGGCAAAGCCAGCTGATGCCCAACGATCAGATTGTATCACGCAGGAATGATATCGATCAGCAAACTATGTTGATTTGAAATCAACACCCATGAGCGATCGAACGATAACCAACGCAGACAGTTTAATCTAGCTCACCACTGGGTCATGTATTTGGTGTAGAATAAAACTCCAGTGTTTGCCGCGTACTCGCCCTGCCCTTGCTTCCTTACTGGGGACTGGCCTACTCTCCAGTTTAGCAGAATCCGACATAACATGGTTGGTGACAATAACCCCTCCATGTTAATAACTGCGAAGGAATTAAAGGTATTCCTGCACGAACAGCAAACTCACTTTGAGGTGGCCCAGACGCGGTTAATGAAAACCATGATGCAACAATTCAGCACTAACTCATCATTCCTGGTTACGGAAGAGAATGCAGCCGAAGCAACAGAGTCCGAAACAACAGCCGTGTACTGATATTTCGTCGCTAAATTTTGTACACAATTTCATTATTTGAATTCGCCTTGGTTTACAACTACGTGCTGTTAATGGTTTTAACATTTCCCTCTCTTAATCAGCGATGTTTTAATATTTAGATAAAGAGTACGCAGAATCGAATTTCACATTGTAGAAAACAGCAGTAACCATACAGTGAATCTGTAACGAGTTTCACGAGACAACTTGCAGTGATTTCGGGAACCTCAAGGAAAGTCTCCGATCGTGTGACGTGAAGAAGCATAAATATTTGGTGTTTATATCAGCGTATAAGTGGTGAGGCCTGAATGTGTCTCGGTCAAATGCGCTTCAGGTAAAGGCGAAAGTAGATGCGGCACACCGGTATCGCCGCCAAGATACCACCATCAGTTGTGTCTGGTTAGGGGTACTGCGAGGCCGAACGCACATAGGTAGACTCGAACCTGTGAAATCCTAATAGCTGTTTTCGCCTAAAGGTAATGATGAGAAAGCATGTGAATAAGAGCCTCGACAAAGCTGCTTGATAGCTCCTATTGCGCGTTCAAAACAGAGCGACAATTTCGGACCAAAAGACGCTTGCGTCGAAACCTCCTGCCACATCGGTAGGAATGCGTTGAGCAAGTTACTAAAGCTGTGTGGTCAACATGATTGAAAGGCGTGGGCAACGTAAAGATTATGAGGGTGCATTGTGAGCTTGCAAACAAGGACACGAGAAAAACAGAACAAATGGCAGTTGAAGATATATTGATGTTCATCATCATCATCATTATACATGTCAGCTAGAGGTGGTGAAACACCTCCGCTATTGTACCGCAATATATTGATGTTAAAAAAACATCAATATTTTAACATCATATATTGATGTTAAAATAATCTGGAGACTTTTCACAGGGCTGCTTGGGTATAAGTAACGTGCCAGAACAATCGCTACTTCGGAACTAGTGCTGAGACCATTTGATCGACTTCAGATCGATTCCTTCCAAAACCATTTCCCAGAGAGGGCTGTAAAACGAAGTGGGGAGCGGAAGTTAGACTATGAAACAGATCAAGCACTCCTGCAAACGAGGGGAACGCATTCCATACGTCCTTAAATGTCACAACACGATGTTAAGTTGGAAAAACAGTAGCGGAAAAAGATGGGTGTGGTACTTTAAAGCTTCCGTGAAAGTTCCAAACAATAACAGAAAGCATTAGAACCAACAGAGGGACAAAAACAAGAGAATTGGTTAGCACCTCGGCATTCGTCGTTAGTCTGCGCCAAAATTAAGCACCGTGCAGGGACTCTCAAGGTCCTGAAATCAAATCCAAAAGTAAGCGGCTGGGTCAGTATCGTAACGTTCGACTCAGTATACCGATGTCTGCTTCGCATGGAAACAGCTCGATTCAGCAGCTGATGTCTAAGCACCGAGGATGGCAAGCGATGACTAGGGTATACAACATCGAATCGTGAGAAACGAGGGCTCGCGGGTGGTTGCGGTCTGATAGAAGAGGACACGGGGTTGCACTTCAGTTTGGTCAATGACTACAATCCGCACGCCGACCATAGTGAGTCCAATATCTCACAAGTACAACCATGAGGATACATCGATGAATAAGAGGAAAAGATCGGCAGACAAAGAAGTTGAGAGCCAAGGGTAAGGAAGGGAATTCGACAACAGCACTGGCATTGTGAACGCGTCATACTCAAGAACAGTTAAGTTCAGGTGGAAGAACTATGAGCTTGGCACCAAAGTAGGACCGACGCAGTTGCCATTACTCACGTCGCCCGAATAACAAATAATAACAGCAAGAAAATGAGATGGAATATAAGCAGAATGTAATTATCGGCCTTTGGAGAACCGACCGTGTCTTGGACTGCCACACGTAATCTCAAGTGTGGCCTCGGTTAACTTTAAAGTCCGCGTTTGCCATTCCGATCACTGGAACCGTCAACGAAATGGAGGGCTTCGGTGTGGCTCTCTCCCACCAGTGCACTTCATGGCGCAGGTTTCCTCGCTGTGTGGACTCATCAAATAGAATGTAAAGGAAATGAAATAAAGTAGAAGGTAAGTTAAACTAACCAGGATGGAGTGAAAATTGACAACCAAATACAAGAAACTGGATGCAGGAATGTCACTGACTGGGCGACTGCGCCATATCCGACAAAATTCCCAGTCATTGGTGTGGACCGTCTTACGGCTCCATTCTCGAAAACAGGAGGCCCATGCCTGAACAGGTATCTCAGGCAGTCTCTTGTTTCCGCTAAGCCATGTCATCGACTGGGCACCTCGAGGTTCCGCCCAAATGGGTGCAGCCAGGGTATGTAATGCACGCCGATGGAGCCGGTCAATGAACAAACGAAAACATGACCTGGACAACGTAAGCGGTTCGAAAATCAACAGCCACTGGAGAGGCACCAAAGGGCTTTTTACCAAAAATCAACTTGCGGACGTCCGCATTGCTCACCTCGTACCCCCACCACATGTGAGCAATGATCTGTAAGCAACCGTAATCAAATACAGTCAAACGTTTAATGTCTTTGCTGCGAACTAGCCAAATCTCTGAACCATATAGTAATACCGGCCTTACCTTTCACTGACAGACTGATATCCCGACGTCTCCATAGATGGTTGAGCTTATGGAAAGCTACAAAAGCTTTGCTGATACGCGAAGTAACCTACTCAGTGATGTGATCACCAGAGGTGACACAGCTACCAAGGTACGTCAGGCGATCCACCAATTCCAGTGGCTGTTCGGTGGCGCATCGTTCCAGCCATTTAACACCATACACATTGGAGGTGTAAAGCACATACCGGACCGCGCAACGCTATTCATTTGTCTATCCAGTAGCGTTTGCATAGCCACCGCTTCAGAGCAAAAAAGTGCTGTCATCTGCACACCCAAAGTTTTTTAGTTGGTCATCTGGCCCGAATAGCCCGAAAGATGATCAGTTCGATCACAAAGTTGAAGAAAGAAGAAGATACTGGATAACCCTGACGTACCCCACTTGTCATGGAGAAGTCAGGAGACAGCATCTGGTGGACATTTACAAGGCCCTGAGAGTCCCAGTAGATTTCAGAATGGAAAGGATAGCAAGTACCACAAGCTAGCTCGATCAACAGTGTCGGATGCGGCATTCTTTTCAAGGAAAACCACCATATTCGGTTTCCAGTAAGCGCGACTCCTCTCTAGAAGTTAAAAAGGAGTACAAATGTAGTCGAAGCTACCACAATCAGCGCGGAAGCTAGCTTGGATTCAACGATACGGCTCACGCGAGGACCAACGAGTCGTCGAAGGGTGGAAACCGCAGGCAGTTTCGAGACAACGGAAGGAACACTAAGGCCTGATGATTTTCGCACATAGTGTGCTGACACTGAAGATGAGTACGACAGTTGACAGTCTAAAAATCCCTCTTCAGTGTTCCAAACCATGCTAAATAGAGAAGAAAGTCCAGTCGACAAAGTCAACTCTATCATCAGCCAATATGGAAGATGGTCGCTGGGTGCAGGAGCTTCGTTTCGTTTCAAAACAGCGAGTTCATGTCGTATTTCTACTAAAGTGTGAGGTGTGACATCAACGAAGCTCGACATATATTTGCTGGTCAGGCGAAACCATATTCATAAGGTAGCAGAAGCGCAAGGTGCTTTCCCATACGTTTTCACCAATGTTGATTCGCGAAACTATTGCAAAGTGCACTTCCGGTAAAGGCTGAAAGAGACAGACAGTTATACTTGTTTTGATGGTGAGCCAGAATTTGACCGCGTTCGAAGCCAGATCACTATTCATGTGCTGCAACTAATCCGCGCTCTGTGTAAACAACGCACAGTCATCAGCGAACAGCAACATACAGACAGTTGTCTCACAGACTAGGGTTCTCGCACCGAAACGTCAGATGTTCAACCATCAACCATCAATACGGTGTTCCACATGAACACCGCAAGCACAAGCGGCATTAAAGGCACTAGACATCATGGCAACATTGCTTGGTTCCTTTACCGTTGTACAGCGGTAGCATAAAGGCATTCTTCAGCCCAGGAGGCACGCACTCCTCAATCCACACGCGTTGCACCAAGTGGTGCAGCGCAGCCACCACCGCGGGTCCGCCGTGCTTCAATGCTTCAGGCAGGATACTATTGACACCTGCCGTTTCACAGCTGAGCAAGTGCCCTCTGCGTCTCATCCAGTGTCGGCATGTCCGCCAGACTCGCCTTCGCATCGTGCTGCTTCAGGCCTTTCAGAGTAGGCCAGTCGATCACTGAACAGTTGGTCAAGAAACAGTCAGTGTTTTTGCCAGATCTGCATTATGTCTGCAGTCTGTGTGCAGATAGCGCCTAAACTGCCATCGATCATCATCCTCAGCGGCTCCAATCTCGGTCCAAAGAATTCCTTGTGTTGGCAGCGTTCGGCGTAGCATTCCATCTGCTTCGCCTTCTACGTTCACCATGCATTTTTAATGCGACGGAGCTCTCAGCTCAGTCGCCGTCGAAGTTTGCGAGACTGACTCCTCTTCACCAAGTCACTGGGCTCTGCGACATGTACAGCAAATGCTGCATTCTTCTCCGACACCAATGCGCTAACCGTCGCATTGTTGTCGTTAAACCAATCAGGCCGCTTACAGTTTGCGCGTCCGCAGCAACTGTCACCTGATCGCGAATGTGGTGCCACAGTTCGCCCCCTGTGGCAAAGCATTCCACATCACACAGGCGTGCAATCATCGGCTTCTCCAACTCTATCCCCTTAAACACAATTCCGAGTAAAAGAACGGTATATTTCCGCCGGTACACAACAGGAGTGCAATAGGTAGATTTTCAACAATATATGTAAAATTTTGCCCGTACCAATTTTTGATAAGTGCCACACTCAGCTCCACACAGTACACGTGTGATGCTCAGTTCACGCATGTCAAGCAGACGTATGATGACATAATCGAGCAGGTGAGCATGACACACCGTGGGTCCGTCTACGTTGCTATACCACTCACACTCAGTGCAAATCGAGTGTTCGTGATCGTCAGGCCGTGAGTGGCACACAGTGGGAGCAGCCTGTCACCTTTCGCATTCGCTGAACCAACACTATACGGAACGACGACATCTGTCCACACCATAGCAGCACACCCAACGTGTGCATTAAAATCACCCAGCAGAAATAGTCAGTCGCTCTTCGGCACAGACCGTATCACGGAGCCTAACGGAGTGTAGAACTGATCACGCGTGTCGTCCGAAAAACATGGTATGACCGTACGTGTTTATAAAAGTGGCAAACGTACCTCTTCCGAGTCGTAGGCTGGCTTGCCGAACTACCTCCCCGTGGTGCCAACTGGTTGGTTCGGGTGTATCACGTTCCAGCAGTGTTCGCCGACAATGCTCCACCTCCGTGAGGCATTGTATTCCACCAATTGTGCTGACTTCATGGGGAGTATTGGGCCCCTGTTTGGTAATCTACCAAACAAAGACACATGAACTGAACATTCTGTCAACGCTCCCAATGAGCGCGTTTCCCGTAAATTCGCCCCGATGCCTTGCGGGTAGGTTATTTAGCCAAAGGCTCGGGGTGGAGTCCCCCAAGTCAACTCGCTACTTCTGTTTGGGCAAGCGGGTAGCTTCACGCCCACTCGCAAAACCACGTTGTAACCTGCACATCAGCTACTGTTTCTGCTACTCACTTTCACGCGACTCCATCATACGCCAATTGTTTGTTTGCTAACAATCCTCACTTTCCGTTTCCCGATTCATGTGTGCAACAATCTGGCTACCATTCCGGTTGCGCCGCAGACCAAGGAGTCCAACTTATGGCTCTCCTTCGTCCCCGATCCTCGTTCCGTCTGGCATGCTTCAACGTTCAGACACTCATACAGACAGGACAGCAAGACGGTCTAGCGTGCCCCCTAGATTCCCTAGACATTGATGTCTGCTGACTTTCAGAAACCCGATTGCAAGATCCCAGCACTGTTCCTACATTGACATCTCCAACTGACCACGAAACCAGATATCACCTGCGTCTTTTTGGAGATCCAGAAGCAGCGT